GCACGGCGTGTTCTTGCTCTTGTAGAAATCTTTCTAACACAATGCGAGCCATCAATGATGGGGCAAAGTCCACCTTACAACAACAGAAATTAAAGAAAAGAAAATTAAAAGTCAAATATATTTAGGCATACTTATTGTCAGAATAAAAATCTTTTTGTAGAGGTTAAATAAGGATGCTTATTAATTAGTAGCTTTTCTCAAGGATTAAGATCAACTATTTGTATCAAATATGGAGTGATAATCTACTATACCTAGTAGAAAACCAAAATTCATGTGAAAACGTAACACTTTACTGTGCAGCAAATGTAATGCCTTTTGCCCTTCTCACTATGGAAAAAGTAATGAAATACGCTGGTCTGAGCTTCTTTTCATATACTACACAGATGAGGTATCTATGTATGTTTACATTGTTTTAATGTTTGCAGTGGAATAGAGGCAAGTAAAACAAAATAAATCCATTAGGAAATGGAGAAGTCAATCTAAATTTATCAGAAGTTAGTAACATGACTAGCAATATTTTAAGTAAATAACATGCAGATAAAAATTTAAAACATTAATTACAGTATATATGGTACATAATAGAAATTAATATGCCTTTTGTATTAGAACCCCTGTTTGCAAATGGTGGCAGTAAAGTCCCTTTCTGTAAGGTTACCTGTCAAGGAAAAGAAGTGGTGATTCTTTATGCATAAATATGGCACCCATCTAGTACTATATATCCTTGATATCATCATCAGAACTTGCTTAGTTCTGCAGAGCAGAAGTCACAGATCCAGCAGACACAATTGTGTCTTGGGCTCCATCAAAATTTCTTTAGCATTTATGTTTTCCTTTTCACCTAAGTCAGTCTTTTTTTTTTTTTTAAATATTTGTGGAACATATATTATGTAGTTCTACTTGAAATGACAATAGCCTTTTAGATATCATTATACCACTACTTTGTTGAACCACTACTTTAACTACGAGCTAGTAAACCTTTCTCATACATTATCACAGTGAATTTTTCTTGACAGGTTTTCAGGTTCAATATTCATACAAAAATTTTATTGTGATTTAGTGGCCAAACAAAAAGGCTTGATTCAGTTGCATATACATTTTTTTTGCAAATAAGTATGTACTTGGATGCCCTTAAATTCCCCAAGTAGACAGAAATGCTTTCCACAGAGCTGCTTATTTCCAGTAACCCACATCAGAGCTGACACATGAAAAATGGTGAAATTACTGAAGGTAGTCCAGGCTGAATAAGGACTACCTTATTAGTTCAGGTACTTGCATCTCCCTAATTTTCATATTAATCATGTGTCCATCTTTCTTTAAAATAGGGCCATCATGCTTCATGTCAGAATTTAGAATGTAAGTAAAATTCATAGGGCTTCAAATCTCACTTGAAAATATTTGTATGAAGAGAACAATGACTAATTTTATTATTCCTATCTAACAAAAATGAGATTTATTTTAGTCCTTTTGCACTACCTATGCACTGTGACAAAGTTGGCAAATGAAATTTCTAATAAAATTTAAAAGTAGTCTTACATACCCTTAAAAAAAAAACAAACAAAATCAAAACACAATAATATGGAGCTGCTCCTATTTAACAAAGCCGCTACACACTGTAATGCACGTATGTTATATATTTCTCATCAATTTTTACAGTTTCCACTGATTAAATATATATTGACTCATAAAGTATTACCATTACATCAATTGTCAGCAGATGCAAGAGTATGTCATTTAAATATTAAGTATCATATAAAAATGGCAGCTTGATTGTTTGGAAGCAGTAATCTGGGGCTGGTTATTGCCACATTTCCCTTATGCATTAGGCAGCAGTCACAAAATGCATTGCTTTTCTTATATACCTAGGACTATGAAGTCAGAAGCGGATAAGTTCTTTAAATATCTTCCCTTTCTCTCCAATTTAATTTTTATTTATTTCTGAACTGCAGGAATCTTCAATCTGAATTGCAAAGAAGCATTAGTATAATATAAACAGAGATATGTTCACTGGAGTCAGATTATACACATCATCTCTAAATCATCGGGAACATCAGGGGTAGAAAAAATACACAAACAAGAATCAGTAGCAGATATATTACTTTGTGCTTGAAATATTTTTATGACCATTTCCATGCAATATGGTATCATATATCATGAATTGTGTTGTTTGTCTAAATTCTTAATAAGTACTTCTTTATGTAAAATCCTGAGACTAGAATATACTTAAAGACTTATTTTCAGAAACTGCAAAAAGCCATGCATTGCCACTAATAAGAAATAAATCCTTTATTCTATGTTAGCTCTATGATTAGGCTATGTGGACACTTCACAGACCATCAAAATCTTCTAAGAGCTGATAGGCAATCACTCATTTGCTGGCTGCAGACTGCACATGAGAGAGAAACCAGTCCTTCTTACTAACATAACATGTAGAACTTGCTGCTATTGCAACACTTAATGTTCATAGTGCCATATCATTTTTAATGCAAACACCCATTTTCTGCCTTCCTCTCATATTTTCTATTAAAATGCAACACAAAACAGCATACATTTCATTCTAGCCCTTTGAGGATTGCATAAGCAGTTCCAACTTGTACCAGATATCATATTGCCATTATTATTATTTTAAATAAATACTGCAGACTTTAAGGGATAGATATTTCATCATTTTTCTAGGGTGTTCATGGTCACTATTACAAACTTTTTACATCTTCTTTAGAGAGCACTTTTTGATACAAATAACTCCTTGTATCTCAAAGTAGACTTATATTCTGGTTGATAAACATCATCAATAAATTACTGTCATACTCTAATGGCAACTGTAGTCATCTTCTCATATACCAACCTTTCCATTGAATGGCAATACTGAGGAATTTATTCTATTTAATTGCTTTATATTAAAGCAGTTTTCATTAGCCATTCTCTAATCTGTACAAAATGAATTAAAAGCAGCTAGGAAAATGAACTGTTTTACTCTTCCTGTTACCAAAAAAAAAAAAAAAAAGAAAAAAAGAAAAAAATCTACTATTTAAAAACAAAGTGGGCAACAACAGCAAAAAGTAAAGCTAACACAACTCCTTAAATCATTTTTCAATAAATCAGTATGTGTTAAAGAGTACTTATGTTACTCAATTTCTCCAAAATTTCTGGCAAAATACAATTCACAGAGTCTCTTAGACATTTGCCTTGAAGTTAAGAGACTAATTACATTAACTGATTTATTAATAAATGGGGCTCTTTGTCTAATTATTGTAAGTACTAACAGACTGGGGAACAATTTTAAATGTCTAATGTGCCTTGAAACCATTTTTTTTAGGTTAATTACATTTCTCAGTGAAGTCACTGTAGATATGCCCCTTAGGTTTTACACTGGGAGATTAAAGAACAAAGTACAGATGATTACCTCATTGGCCAGCTCCAGCAACACGGGGGCCGCTGCGTTTTTCATCACTCCATTCAGGTACCTAGACAAGACAAAGCTAAGTAATTCTGCAGTGGCAAGAAGGGGCCAGCCTACACACGTGAGCATCTCTGGTGAATCTCTCACTTGGGGGAAAATACTCTGGTACAGTATTTAACAGGAAATCTTCTGAGAAATGAGTATTTTAAACAATCCAGGGTTGCTTCCCACTCATCTGCGAGATATATCAATCTTAATTAAGTCATTGATAAAACCACAGCAAATATATTAAGAAAATATTTCTTTTCCTTTTTTTTTTTTTTTTTTGGTTTGATGCCACACAAATAACTATAACTTCATTATTAAAAGATGCAAAACAGACAAGAAATCTCTGCTATTCACAGTAAAATTTTGGGGATGCACATGGTCTATACATTGCCACACACTCCATTCATTATGATGCACAAAAACCTGAAGTCGCAAATTTAATGACAGGTGTTATCAACTAGGCAGGTTAAATAACAAAGGCTTGCTTCACTGAAATAAGAGTCTAATAATCAAATTATTATTTTAAGGAGGAAGTAAAAGAATTATTTAGAATCCCAGTAAGGGGAAAGTCATTATTCTATCAATGACAAAGTCTTAAGGTTTCTAGTTAAAGGTATTAGACCAATACAGATAAGGGTTTCCAGTTAAAGGTATTAGACCAATACATGGTGACTTTTCTGACAATCACCTCAACCAGTGCTGCCTTCCTCTTCTCTGTTCCTTTCACATTTTGATGTTTAGGTTTCAATAACACCTCACACATGCTTTCAGGAGTTGATGGGAAGAAGTTATATTACTGGAAGTCACTTTGTGCTCTGTAGCCACTTGTAAAAGAACAACAGCTACCAACACTGGAGCCTGTTAGTTTATGCTGTCCACAGGCACACAAGCTGTTAGCAAGCCCTACAGCAAGCGTGACATCTTTAGAAGATTATAGTCCTTTTAGGTCCATCAGTATCTGTCCATCGAAGTCACTTTTCTGCTCATTTTCCTGGGATACTATAAGTTTTTTCTCCTTTTTACCTTTCTGTGAAATGGGTGTAAGACCATTTACATATAACTCTTCACAGAGGAGGCTTTGTTTTCAATTTATTCTAAGGCTCAATGACTATATATTACTACTGATACTGAAATACTTGAAAACTTACATTGGTGGGAAAAAAATGAGAGTTCATAAAAAAATAACCAGGGAGATTTACTTGACACTGACATTCCAAAACAGGCATCTAGCTGATTAAACACCAAAGCTACAGCTTGCGGTGGAGTAATTTACTGTCAGGTATTTCTAATGCTACTGGCAGTCCATTACGGACTGACTGGCTTCACATGCTGACGGCAATCTCACCTGGAAAAGCTCCCTGATCTTCCTGGGAAGTTGCCTCTGTGTTTGCCCAAAGCTAAGACAAGTCTCCGCAGAGAAGACTCACAGTGGCTGGGAGCCACTTCTCACAGTGGCTCCCAGCAGGGCCCACTGGGAATGCCGCTTCCCAGACAGTCAGAGTTGGGGATGCGGAGGAGCAAGGGAAGCATGGGAATGTGCTTGTGCGGAGGTGGCAGCAGGAGGAGCGTGCCAGACACCTGGAAGGTTGGCGGCTGCAAGATGGATGCTGGAAAAGGGCCGCGCAGAGGATGTGTTTGTCATGTTTATGCTGGAGCATGTCAGGCTGGCTTGTGGCTCAAGCAGCCTGCCCCTGGAACTTCCATAACATAGTACACAGTAAATCTGCTAAAACAGCATGGAGATGAGCTTCCTAACTATTAACCAGAACATYGCTGACTTTAAAACATGTGCATTTTATTTAGCCATGTTAGTGCATCTGCAATATGAAATACCCAGAAATCACATACAGAATTTTTCCTATCACAACCATATAACTTCATACATAATGCATTAGTCATGTACTTCCATCATACTTCCGACAGTACAGAAGAGGACAGGAGACCAAATCTTCCTCGCAAATGGAAACCAAACGTAATCATGCCTACAACCCTACTGACACTCACACAGCTATTGCTCTGCATAAAGCAAAATTCGGTTCTGCGTTTTGGGTTTAACTTGTTGGAACTAGCAATATACTTATGAAAAAAGAAGTTTGGGGAATTTGCAGGGGTTCTAAGAAAGGAGTTATTTATTGAGCAGTTACAACTAGCAYAGGTTACTTTACTAAAACTGTAGAAGTGACAAGCAATTAAAATAGTATTGCTTATATGTGACCATTATTGCAATAAATTTTTAAACCAATATTCTTCCTAGAGAAGCATCAATATTGGGAAAAGGAAAACGGGACCCAGTATTCATTTTTTTAATACAGCAATATATCTAGCAAGAAATGAAAAGCAAGCCCCAAAACACCACAACATGGTATTTTCTACACTGATGTCTAATATAATCAAATTGTCCTTAGGTTTTAAATATATGACTCTGTGGAATCTTTGAGATTGGTTAATTGTTTACAAATGAAGGCTTTTTGTTTATTTTTCTAATTCATAAAGATTAATATTAAGCATAAATAACAGACATCTATAATCGCAAGCATGGTTATCACTTGCCATGGAAGCTCTTCAGATATGTCAGTCTACAAAGTAATATTTTAATTGCATATATCTATCTGTTATCAGCATGCCCCAATTATGTCACTGCTCTATTTTAAGAGAAGCCTAGAGAAGTAGCAGACTGTAAGGTAACTGTACAAACAGACTGTAACAAACTATAAGGTGTAGCAATTACAATTTATTAGCTCAAGATGCATACAATTGTAAAATGCTGTAAAATGACATTAAAGGCTTTCATTCCTCCTTAAAAGCCATTTCTGACACTTCTGTTGATAAAAGAGTAGTGATCTAATAATTAATGCTTTAACTGGCAATACACTGATTTAATATGCAACTTTTTGTAATGTAACACAAACATTATTTTAAAAAACACAAGCAACTGCAACAAAGCAACCTCCCTCACTTTAAGGAATTTATCATCAATATTAGTCTTGACATAGAAATGCTGAGATTACAAACGATAGGCAATATATAATGAATTCTATGACATGCACTGTAAGGAGCAATATTTTGTTACCTTGACGTAAAACCCCTTCCTTATCAGACTGAACAAAGCTACAAAAATTTTGCCTTTTCACTGACAAATGTCTTTAGTGGAGCCTTCCTGTAAACTTCATCCTCAATTGCTGATCTATATTATAGAAAATTAGCCTAATAAGCTGATTTATTCACAATTATCATAACAACTGGCAGTTACGCTGCTACGCTTTCCTGGGCCGGGGAGGTCATACCTCTGGTAGTAAGTTTCAACAGCCTCAGCCGTGTGATGCTTGGCATGGGTTCTTTTCACTTGTTTCTGGGGGAAAAAAAAAGAAAGAAAAAGGAAAAAAACGAAAAACAAACCAAGAGTCTTGTCAATGTATCGCAGATCAAAACACAAAAATCAAGACTTTTCAAACACACATTTCTTAGCCACACTTTTTTTTATATAAACCCAACTGTATTTTTAGAAATCTAGGCAGAAATGGCGTTTACTCTACCTATTGAATTGAATGTCTTCAGACTGTACCGCAATGTACCGTATATGTAAAAGCCACAAAGGTCACCAGAATTGAATCTAAATAAGTTTACTGAAGGCTGCAGAGGGCAAGGAAAAACTTGTTCTCTCTTTCAACCTTTGTATTAATTTTCCCTCAATTCAATTCCATCTAAGTCTGGGGCACTCTGGTTTTACAATTCAATTGGCATTTTTAACCAGGAAGAACATTGCTTAAAAACAACTTATTTGAAAAACTACAAAAAGTAATTCCATAGAGACTTGCCACTTGACTGACACCTGTCATCCCATGATAAATGACTCCATTTTCTGCCTCTCTTGCCTTCTGCCACTCCGGCTATGGTCATTTATCATCATCTCTGTCAGCAATGGAAAGCGGCACTGACAGTGCAAGTCAGCAAACATTTAGCACATGGAACCACGCAACACAGGGAAATTATTATTGTCAGAATAATAATGGTTTAGCATAATTTATTACAGGTCCACCAAATAAGCAAAGGCTAGATGTTATTAGACAGATGGATGGGTAGGCTTGGCAGCCATCCACTGAGACTCAGGCGGTGCTTGATGTGGAAAAGGGAACATCCTCCAAACCAATCAGAAAGCTGGCAGTTCAATTACAAAGAAATAAAGGGACATTCATCATTCAATTAGGCACCTGTCAAGCCTCACAAAGGAGAAAACTTCTAACCTGGTACTCCTGGGAGAAGATGCTCAGCAGAGTGGACTGCGATTGACTGGAACAAATAAAAGAAGGACAAAGTTAATTACTGGAGTGCACTGCAAAGAAACAAAAGGGAAGGGAGCTTCAAAGGTAGGCCTGCTGCCCTGTAATCTAACAGAACATGAAAACAAGTGTGGAAAAGTTGTTCCAGATGAACACCTCAGACAAAGGCTTCCTGCTGCTAGGTCAAGGAGAGAGCGCACGAGGGAGGGGAGGAAAATGCAGCAAGAGTTTCAAAGCAAAGCAGCACATTGTTTGGGGGATCCGTTTTCGGCTTCAGAACCCACAAAGTCTTATCAGTCGCAGGTAGCGGAGTTAAAAGGGAAAAGGCAAAAGGAAAACAAAGCAGAATTTCCATTAATAATTGATGGAGCTAAATTCCATTAGCAGTTGGGACATGCCGCTCGCTCATTGGCAGCATATTGAAATTCATTTTGTTAGCAGCAAGGGAACCTCTTCAGTAGCTGTCTCATATTCAGGGGAAAAACTTCGCTCTCTGTCAGAAGTAGCATATGGGACCACTGGAACATTCCCACTGAAACCGATGTGCTTTGAAAATAGAAACTTTCACAGCAGGAAGCCGAGATTCCCCAGAGTCGGTCATTTCCAAAAGCTGCCATAAGCTTCATTCATCTAAGGCTCGACTCAATGTCAAACACCTGGCAATGAAGCAACCTGGAAAACATTTTTCCCAAGTGGGATTTTTTTCTCTCTGAATTGCTAACATTTAGAAATGGGACAAGATTTTTTTTCCTCCTAAAAGGCAATCAATACCACACCGCTACTGTTTTCAATTGTCCTCTGTGGATAGATCTACCACATCACATCCTGAATACAATTAATTACTTCTGATATATTTTCCTACGAGATGCAACATGAACAAATTATAGTCTCAATAAATCGGGTTTTATGGCACAGCAATGCACGATGAATAATTAACATTTTCCCTTTCATGGATGCACCTACCCAGGCACAGCACAGGTAGCTTAAATATTCAGCAGTGCCAGCAGTCCTGCTCTTCACTAGGCTTCCTCGTACGCGACTTTAACATCTGTATCGCATCATATTTACATATCACACCCCATTATTGATGACYCTGCTATAAAATTGAATGTTCTCTACACCCTTACATAGCCCTTTTCCTTGCAACATTCACACCTCAGAAGCACTACTTTAAGGTTAGGAAACTGTGCTGCCTTTCTGAAAAGGGAAAACTGARGCACCGAACAATTAAATAGTTTCCTCGAGGTTAAGCAGAAGCTATGTCCATGCARCATAGTACAAAACTAGTTTCCTCTATACTAATTAGTCAAAGCATCAAGAGCAAAGTAACCAGATGAATGCAGCACTATATAAAGCACTGAGTAGTTTGGGGTATTTTGCTTCCCTCTCTGTGCTTCCCGTGTCTCTGCCACAAGCCTGTGTTCTGCAGCAGTGCCCCGAGCCTTGATCTCCAGGATTTGAAACTCAAGAGGATCCACCTCGAGTACTCCCTGACTGTTAAAACTAGAAAAAATAAATAAAGAAAAAGAGACAGCAATATAATTCATTCTACTAACATGCAGATTCACAAAATCAATGGTTTACAAAAAAAAAAAAAAAAAAAAAAAACAGGCAATATTTTAAACATTTTGCAATATACGTCATTGGACGCAGAGTCCAGAACAGAAGACGTGTGCCCAAAAGAGGCCCTATCCAATTATTAGGAGTCATTCCATGCACACGAAATAATCAGAAGGTGAACAAAGGAAAAGAAAAAAAAGATTATATACTTTATAGTGTATACATAGACACATATGTACATATATACAAGGCTAAGTTATTTCAGGATGATTTATTTTAAAAAATCTGCAAGCTATAAATAAGAAGGATACATATGGCCCCCTAATGGCTCTCCACGCAACTATAATTATCTGGCAGATTTACATGGCCATAATGSTAGAACTAAAGATGGAGGGAGATTTGAGAAAACAAAACACCACAGCATTTAACTGGATTTTTGAAGGACGGAATGTTATTAAAATGTTATCCTTTGGAGAGATGGGCAAGTAACTGAAGATGATTTAGGAGTGGGACATAAACCAAAAAAACTAGTCAGGATTTTATATTAAAAGATGAAAGAAAAAAAAAAAAGAGAATCCTCAAAACTAGGAATTTCACTTTGATGCCGCTTATGGACAGATTCAGAAAGTGATACAGTAAAATCTGGGAGTAAGCACAGCCTATGCCCAGCTGCCTTGTTCTAAACAAGGCTTTGAATTGACTTGAGGAAAGGAAAATTAGTATCAGAAAAGTCAAAAGGGAGGAAACTGTGGTAATTAAGGTGCTGAATGGCAAAGATTTTTACTGGTGTAGGTGAATACACAGCATGTACTGGAAGGACCCTGGAGATAACRTTCAGGACATCTCAGCAAGGTCCGAGCACAACATTTATATATATATGAACCACCTAGGTAATTTGGAGCCAAACATAACACTCAGGTTACAAATCAGAAGTGAGGGATGTGAAAGGCAGTGTTATGTCAGTTACAACAAAACAGGAAGAAATACAAAATGGCACCAGTTTTATTTTGTTCCACGCCCTCCCCCTGCCTAGATCATAARGAGGAAAAAAGAAAAAAAGACAAGTAACTTGTGACAAAAATGGTGGATTTTCTAAGTTTTTAATTTAATAGAGGGAAGAGTTCTACTTTGYGTAATACAAGAACATTCTATGGAAAAGACTCTAATCAAACCCATGTTAATAATAACAAATTATGAATGCAATCTGATGAAAGAGGCTTTTTAGACTACATTCTTAAAACATAGATTTTATTTCATCCTTTCCTCTTCTTCCTGTCTGGATTTCTCCCCATACCTAGATTATCCTTCTTCCCAGACTTCCATAACATTCCGTATGGCCTGGTTTCCATACCTCGTCTTCTTTGAGTTCTTTCCCATGGATAAACCAGTCACTGTATTTTTAGGCTGCTCTCTGTAATATTACTGCACTTACTGTACTATTATCCCATTACACTTCCTGATATATCAGTAAGATTGAAAACCATTATCTTTGTCTTCACAGGTTGCATTTTTCTTGCTAATTATTTTGTTCTCTTAGTGTCCTTAAATTTTCCTTTCCAGTTTGGATCTCTTTTGACTTACCAYAAAAACTAGAAAGCAAGTTCAACAGCTGAACAAATTGGGAATATGCTGGACTGCAATGTAAAAGTGGCAAGAAGACGATAATAATAAAAAACTACTTCAACAGGACTATTTAAAAAATCCAAAGCCTTACCACCAGAAAAACCTCCCCTCTTCTCCAAAATGTTTTTTTTTAATCTTCATATGGTTATTCCTTTTTTTTTTTTTTTTTTTTTTTTTTAACATAGCTCCTCTGTTCACCCCCAAAATCACTTATTTCCAACTTGTTTCCTTGCCACAGTAGCTAACTTCCTGGTAAAGTGGGATAGCTCCCAAAACAGAGGTGATCTCTTTACCACAGGATGCCAGTGACAGGAAAACTGAAACACCTGAGTTTCCGAAAGTGCTGGGAAAGATGGTTCTGAGTAATTGGACACTAGCCATGGACAGGCACTRACACTGCCAGATGTGCCATGAAAACAAATGATCATGACAGCTGATACTGGCAGTTGCTGATACTGATAAGTAAATTATTATGACTTCTACAGAAGCAACCAAATTCCTAGAGTCCCATCCTTCCTCTAATGCCCCTTCTGCACAGGATTTCAAAGTTACAGGAGGGCTCACAGATTAATATAGCCGAGACACCTCGCAAAAAAAATACCTTATGTTCATGCCAGTGAAAACAGAATTTACACAAACTCTTCAGTGATGTATTACCAGCTCTTAACAGATAAACTTCACTGAGCCACATATGGAGCGGCTCACTGGAAGGGTAGGAATAGAGCATATTGGCTTATTCCAAGTGGGCTGTTCCATGGTCAGTCAACACTGACCATGGAAGCAAAGCGTAGATTTGTTGATTTTCATTTTTTAAAACAAACAAATATACACCTGAGTGCTGCCTCCTTTAAATAGTCGGTGAATTAACTTGTTAACCACCTCACAAAGAACTGAATGTATTTTCCAAGAAAACAAGAAACTTTCCTCCTCAGTTCTCTAACAGCTACTTTCATGGAAACATTTTCTTCTGCAATTCCAGATGCTAATGGATCCAACTCCCAGGACTACCAGCCTTGCTCTTGAAATACCCTCTTTTTCTTGTAGGGCAGCACCCATAAGGAACCCTGTTCCTGCGCTGTGGCCGGYGGCGCACGTCCATCTGCAAAGGCTCCCGGGCTTGGTGCCCTTGTCTAGAGCACTGCATCTCTGCACGACACGCTCGGAAATCTAAAACCTACCCAGCACGTGGAGATGCCCAAATCTTGTTTAAAGAAAATACCTCTTTTTCAAATAATGAAATATTATTTCTGAGTTCCAAATGTTAGAATGGCATAAAACACTTCTTTAATATAAAGCATAGCATTATAGATATTGAACTCTACCCACATGTAGAATGGGCTGCCCAAGGCTGACCAGAATAGGCTAAAAAGGCAACTGCAAGTCTGGTGCTGGATACGTAACATGCCTTTGGTCACTTACTATGTACACTAATTTGGAAGAGGGCAGGGAAATTTATTCTACTGGTTAACATCACTAGACAGTATTTGTGACATGTTTTGTCTGCAGAGAGTATGTGTATTTAAACCRGTAATAGATAATATGCTGAGGGCAGATCCGTGCTTCATAACTAGATCTGATGAGAAACCCTGGCCAAGGAGCAGCCAAGAGGACTGAAAGACTTTGTCTGTATCAACCTGCACATCTAGCCAAGACTTGGGGTGCTGCCCAAGTTATGCTGTTTGCTATAGTAAAAAAGAAGAAAACCCAAACACGATGACTTCAGCAACTATTACATTATCCTAAGATCTTTCAAGTAGTAGATCTTTTAGGGATAAGACAAAACATATGCTTCTTCACTTCTTTTTCTGATATTTCTAAAAAAAATAA